TCTGGCCACAGGAGTGTCTGCTGGGTGCAGTCAGATGACCTGGGCTTTCCCACGCCTCACAAAGGAGGCGGTGTAGCTGTGAGTGCCTGCTGGTGAATGGGGCGAGACCAACTAGCTGAAAAGGGCTCCTGCCAAATGGTGTTAAACTACTCTGCCAGCCTACCTGGAGCGCAGTGGTCTGCCCAGTCTGTGAATGGGTCATGTTTATGGTTGCAGGGGAGCTGGTACGATGGCAGAACGACAGGCTGCTGCTTGCAGAAGAGCAAGCCTCTACTCCAGTGTTAAGCATCAGCCTTACCATATTTAAAAAATTCTTTCTGTGCTGTGTCAGACAATGCGGAACACCAATTGCAGCAGCCTCAGCTGCTTGGGCAGTTGACTGGTAACTTTTTTTTTTTCTTTGGACTGTGGCTGTTGCAGGAGTTTCATGAGGAGCTGGTAGACTTTTCAGTTCTCTCATTTACTAAATGAGGGTAAATGACCTGCTACCCTCGCGTGTTGCGCTTTGATAGTGCTGGCAATACTAGTCTTGTTGGAAATCCCCACGCCCTCTCAAAACACCAGAGAAGAACAAAAAATGTGCTGTCCCTGACCCTGTAACAGGAGACTCACTGAAGATTTTTTGAAGCCTGCGACTTCCCATAAGGCAGCTTTTCTGTTTGCCCCTCCAGTGGCCACTGGGGGACTGGCAGTAGCCAGTGGGATCTGAATTTGGTAGGTTCCGGGTACGGTTCCACTAATGTGACAGCCTTTTCTGCGGAGGTGCAGCTGGATGTCGCAGCAGGGTTTTTCGAAGACGGGTCCGTTTCGGTGGTCTGAGGCAGTTGTGTTAAATGTGGTGGTGTGGGAGGGGCCTTAGTGTGAAGGAGCCTGTTCCTTTGAAAATGCCCAGGGTTTTGGCATGGCAAAGTGAGGACTGTACTTGACCGGGATGTTACCTTTAACACTTTCTAACCTTTTAAGAACAAGCTGCTCCAGGATGAACGGGCATTGAGGTGAATTGATGCCTGCTGCCTGGTTCAAGGCAACGCTGCCTGCTGCAGAGGGCAGCCCATTTCATAAAGGATTAGTTACGAAAGGCTCTAGATGTAAGTACTCATCCAGAATGGTCGTTCAGGCTTACTCTGATAGTAACCCATGGTATCCTAGTGGAAGGTTTGACTTGTGTTAGTAGCTCACAGCCTAATGTGGGGATATTCTGGAAATGTTTCACATGTTGCAGTGTGAAACCCTGCTTCTCCGTGGTGGGACCCAGGAGGAATCGCCAGCTCTGGATCAAACACTGCTGGAGTGCTAGTTCTGAACCTCTGTATTCTTGGGCTGAGTGTGTCAAGGTATTGCAGCTGCCAAAACTGGAGCTCTGCAGATGGTTCCCTGGCTTGAAGGACGCTGACAACGTGGGCACTGTCAGCGCGTGCAGGTCAGTCTGCAGAGCTTTGCAGAACCAGCACGAGGCTTTTGTTAACAGTCTCTTCCTGTGCGGAGGGAGTGTCCAGTGAGGTGCGTTGAAGCTAACGTAGCTGCAAGATGAACATTCTCCCTGCACCGCCTTCCTAAGCACAGTAACTATAACTACAAAAGGCTGGTCCTAATACTTGGGCTACGACTTGATCTAACCCACAGGCTGCTCGAGTCCTGGTAGTGAATATCAGAAGCAAAGCTCTACTGAAAGTCCCAGCAGTGGCAAAATTAGTCTTCAGTCCTTACAGAGGCTCTTGCCTATGTGGCACATTACTTTCTAGTTCATACTTTATCTGGGAGCTGCACAGCTGTAGTAACTCTGCTCCCACTTTCGATTGGTAGGAAGTGTGTGCTGCGGCAAGGCACCAGGTACGCACAGCCCTGTGGGAGTGTTTTGCCCTCAGGAGCAGCACTGCATCAATTCTGGCATGTGAGTTCAGGGAGTTACTTCAAAACCAAGTTAACTTTTCAAACAGGCTTGCTGGGAGTAGGTGGTCTTGAATGATGTGTAAAGCAACATCTCTGTATTATAACACCTTTGAACTTCAAAATCCTGGTTGTAGACCAGCATGCGTTTCTCCTGGGATAAAGCTAGGTGGGCAAAGGTAGATGTTTTGATAGCTCTGTGCTTATCTGCTTTAAAGGTAGTGTTGCAGCTTGGTAGTTCTGTGTTGGAGGTGATAGAGCTGTATAGTCTGAAACAGACACATGGAGGTACAGCTCTGGTTGCATTTTCGCTTCCACCTAGATCTCTTCAAAGCCTATTAACCAAGAAGTTTTTTGGAATGTGTGTCTGTCCAGCTTATCAGGGGTGTTTAACCATAGTGTATGAAATGTATGTGCTTCAAATGCTCACAGCTGCCAAGAGAGACAAGTCTAGATGTGTGGGAGGATTGACCCAAGTGCCAAATCACCCCTAACAGGGGGCCATTATGTGCTGTGCCACGGTGCAAAGTGGGTATTGTCTTTGCAACCTGGGGTGTCATCAAAGGTGCAAGGAGAACTTCTCAAGCTAAAGCTGCCTTGTAAGGTCCTGGAGATGCAGCTGTAGGGCACTCGAGCACAAGCCTGTTGGTCATTGTGCTCAGCTTCACTGGGAGCTGATGTGTCAAGCTCTCAAGCTCTACGTGTAGCTGGCACCCGGGACTGACTCTTCACCAGTTTTACAGAGGGTGTGCTAGATCTTCAGTGCCATCTAACACTGTGATGTGAAAGCCAGGTGCCCTGGTGTGTGTCTGTAGATTTTGTTAATGTGCCTAGACCAAGCTGAAAGGATAAGCTCTTGCCTGTTCCCTAGAACTGGGATTTAACATCCGGTAACTGACAAAACTTGTGCTGTTCTGCCCCTCCCCAAAATCTTAGGCAGCTGGTTTTCTGTAAGTGAGATTACAAAATCAGTTTCCGTAATCCATTGCTGCATTAATTGTGACACATTTAAGTCACTTCAGGCTTGGAGGAAGTCGTGACAGATCTAATTTTAAGTAGCAAACTTCCCTCATGAGCCTCTGTTTCTGGAGAGGTGTATAAAAGACTCCAGAAGAGAGAAGTGGTTACTGCTAAATGCTGTAGCCTGTCTAGATAGCCTGAGCCTTCCTTATTTCCAGTCCTTAGAAGATGCTCCATCCGACAGAAAAGGTTCCTAATTCAAGTTAGTGATTTGGGGGCTTCTCTCCCTAGGGACTAGACCATTAAACAGTGCCATCACTGAGCCCATGTGCTAGCTTCCGGGCTCAGCTTACGTTTGCAGGTAAAACCTGTGCCCTGCCCTCAGCTCAGGCTTCCTGCTAAGCAGGATTCTGGTTCAGAATTGCGCTGAGCAGCCCTTTGCATCTGGCTTGGTGACAGCCAAGGTTCAAGAGCTTTGCTAGTACAGAACCAATTTGTAGTTGATAATGAGGCTTTCTCTTCAAGTTTTTGTAACTCAAACCGAACCTTCCTTCTGATAGCAAGTCTTAAGTTAATGCAAGTCTTATGTTAATGCAATGTGTTACCATTATTAATCTTCTGGAGTTTCTTAGTGGAAAGCCAGGAGGATTAACTGTTCAGCTCTTGGCTGCCCAGAGATAGGCTTTAGGTAGATGCTGAGTGAGGGATGGGCAGGCAGATAACCCAAACCCTTTGGATACTTTCTAGTAGCTCTTCTGGATGGGGGGCACCATCTCGTGGTCGGATGCTGACATACGGTGCCCATAGATCTTTGGAACAAGCCACTCTCCCTTGTAGAAACCTCAGGTTTTTAAGTAGATGAAGAAAACTCAAATAAGTTTTTGAACAGTACACAGATTTGAAATCCCCGTGGTTTTAATTTTCCTAGTAGCCTTTTAGTGGTCGGAAGCATTTTCCTGCTAAATAGGGGGGTTACCTTTTGTGTCAGCCTGATGGTGTGTGAAAAGGAGACGACTTTCCCTTCTGCATACCTTGCAGTGCTGCTTCAAGGACTTAGTCCTGGCTGCTGACCTGTGTATTGTCTCTTGGGTGATGGTGAGCACAGTTGAGAGTTAAGGAGTTCCTAGAGTGCTCCAGAGTAAGGTTGGAAGGAAAAGAGTCTGTCCAAGTACTTCAAAGACTGACATTTTGGCGGCAGCTTTTGTGTGACTAATGCAGGGTTTTCAATGTAGAAGTTATTTTCTGGGGTAGTGCTTTGGTACTCTTAATAGCAGGTCTCAGCTGGAGGTGATAAGCCCCTGTTCTGCTTCAAAAAACCAAGCTTTGGGTTCCATTAGTGGTCCTCTACATGCTCAAGTGTTTAGACAGGTGATAAGTGAACCTTAGGGTAAGGTGGTGGTGGCCCTCTAACCTACAAGCTGTGCTCTGCTTCCTGGTTCCAGTGATTGGATTAACGAGCATTTGGACCCGAATCCTTCACAGGTGAGGTCGTTGACATGTGAAGAGGGTGTCCTTTCTCAATGAAGTGCAGCAATATTATGTGAGTTTGTTGCTCTCTCAGTATGTGTCTGATGAAGCTGGAATGGCATGTTTAACCCCAGGCCACAGCACAGGCCAACAGGTTTTGTGGAAGAAGAGGTCCCTTGAAGGTGACTTTTTAACATCGGGTGTCTCTGACAGCTCAGCCCAAGTGGCTCAAAGTTCAGGGACTGTAAAACCTGGCTTTCACCTGGGTTATGTCCTGCCGTGGTAGAAGTACACTTTGCTGTGCTTCCTCTGCAGTTCAGCTGAGCAGAGATCACAGTGAGGGCCCAAACTGAAGTAACGAGTTCAGATTTGGACGTTAGGTTTTGGTTCCTAAGCAGAGAATGAATGAATGCTGGGGAGTACACCCTCTGCAGAGCTCTCTCAGAGAGGGTGCTCTGTTATCAGTGCTGTTTTATTGATCTTAACTTTGCTCTAGGACTCTAGATAGGTCACTTCCTCATCCCTTAGGGGAATATTTCTGGCTGACAAACCGAGCAGTCAAGTGACCGTGTTAGTTCTGCACACTTCTTCCTTGTGCTGACTCAGCTGCTCTCGTACTGCAGCCTGGTGAAGGAGGTGGTGTTTGGGGGTGTGTCTAATGCTTTTTTCTTTTTTTTCTTTTCTAGCCTTGGGAGCTGCATATGGAACAGCAAAGAGTGGCACGGGTATTGCAGCCATGTCTGTCATGAGGCCTGAGCTCATCATGAAGTCAATCATTCCTGTTGTCATGGCGGGTATTATAGCTATCTATGGCCTAGTAGTGGCAGTCCTCATTGCCAACGCCCTCTCACCTTCTATTACGCTATTCAAGTAAGTAGCTGTGTCTGTCAGGTGTTTGAAGGTTTGTCCTGTCGCTGTTCTGATGCTGCCGAATGAGCAGGTTTTGCTCAGGATCTCAGGAAGGGCTGTTGGTGCTCCAGTAGGGAGGAGGTTTTGGCAGCCCTGCCCAAGGCCTGTGGTGATGCTGCCTGATAAGTTCACTGCCTTGGCTCACAGATCAGACATCCTGCTGCTGGATATTGCAGTGGTTTATGGCTTGAAAGAAACTCTGTGCAGGCAGTGCTGGTGTAAGAGGTTAAGCTTCAAAGACTTGTCTAATCAGACTGTCAAGTAGTTGTCCTGTTGCCTGGGAGATGCATGTGAATAATTAATATCGCTTGCTGCTTTATGTGCTGGTAAATTGATCCTCCAGCTATACGTCAGGCCTCTACACCAGCTACGGTTTGAAACTTAATCTGCTCTTGGCTTCCAAGAATAGCTGGAACTGGCTTGATTGAGACCTCCTGGAATAAAATGATGCTTCTGAGGTCTAACAGAGTAGATTTGTGTCACTGCACAAGCTGTAGCTGCTGAGCAGTGTGGTTGGCCTGATAAGCTGTGATCTGAGAAACAGTGGGTGCGAATACTCTTTGCAGGTAGCAGGTGGCAAGGTACCGATAGGGACTGCTCCTCAGATACTCCTGTCTGGAAAACCAGCCTGCTCCCATCCACCTCCTGTGAGAGGCATAATAATCACCTGGACATGCTGCGGCTGTATAATGAACTTGCTAAAGGTGGAAGACAAGCAGCTATTAGCAGAATACACAGTGCTATGGATCAAGTGTTCCCACATAGAACTTGTAGGCCAGGTAGCTGAGCTTACTTGCCAAACTTGAGTGTCAGCTAAAAATCTTGTATAGCTGCCCAATTTTTTAAAGTATTGGAGCTTGGAGTCTTGGGAGGCATCTGTTTTTGTGAGATTAAGAAGCTCTTTCTGCAGGAGAAAGATTCCCTTTAAATGTTAATTTTTAGTTGCTTTGGGGAAAGCAGAAAAAGAAGTTAACTGGAAGTTGAAGGGTTGGGTGTCCCCATTGCTTTGCTGCTGAAACTCTTTTTGTCTCTGTCCTACAGGAGCTTTCTTCAGCTGGGTGCTGGCCTGAGCGTGGGGCTCAGTGGTCTGGCTGCCGGCTTTGCCATCGGCATTGTGGGTGATGCGGGCGTAAGGGGAACAGCGCAGCAGCCCAGGTTATTTGTGGGCATGATCCTGATTTTGATCTTCGCTGAAGTCTTGGGTCTCTACGGCCTCATTGTTGCCCTTATCCTCTCCACAAAGTAAACGTTGCGGTATGATGTAAAGAGATCTAACAAATCCACGTTTAAAAAAGAGAAAAAAAAAAAAAGAAAAAACACAAGCTCCGGAATGAAAATGGTCTCTCCAATGTGTACAGTTGTCCCAATTTGGTAGTTGATCTCTTGTAAATGCGCAATGTACGTTAGTGACTTGTCTGTCCTGTGTGTACTTCAATATTAAATTGGATGGGCTGCTCCAAGCCTGCTGCATGGCTTGGGGTGGCCTATGTGCAATTTTCCACCCATTGCTGTTAGTACTTTATGTATAAATATGAACTAGAAATGTAATTTTTTTCTCTTCACTGGATGTTTATTTATAAAAGACTTGACATGTTCATACATCTATGGAGCAAGGATTTTCAATTTCCCATGCTATATATATTAATCTTATATATAGGTAGATTACACTGTGGGGTCAATTGTAAGTGCAGAGAATTCCTTGGATGTAACTTTGATTCTAAAGATTGCTGTAGTGTCCTGGTATTGGAGTATGAGAATTTCGTGTTTTATTACAGCAATTGTCCGAAACACTCCCGTGTTTCAGTAGTAACTGCGTATGCTCCGGCATCCGAGTCGTGCACCCAGTGTTGGGTTACAAACTTATACCATGTTTCCGAATAAAACTTCCTCACTACATTGCTGTAACGAGTCCTCTGCCTCTGATTCTGTGCTTTTGCTGCTCCTGTAGGAAGAGGGGTTCCTGTAGGGGGAAGGAGGGTTCTTGAAGTGACTGAGCTCTGTGCAGAAGTGATGCTGTCATCCCTCCTGAAGCAGCGCTGCTTACCCAGGAGAAGAAGGGAAAGCTGTTTCTGCCTGATGGGCAGGAGGGGATGTGGGGCTGTTGTGGTGCTTCGCTTGCGCTGGTTGAGCTGCAGATCTTGGTTCTGGCACCTGGAGAGCCTTTGAGCTGCCTGTCCTTGCGATGGCTCTGCGGGAATGTACCTGGAGGGAAAGCTGCACCATTGCCAGCGTGTGCCTCGGAAGTACCTGAACAATAGTCTTGTCAACAAAAAAGGTTCATTGAAGAACTTTTTTTTTTTAACTTTTAAATGAGGAGCATTTGAGATGACAAATTCTGCTTTTGCAGCTTGGCAACCTTCTCTGGTCTTCAGGGTTTATGAATGTTGAAAAGCAATGCTGAAGCTCACATGAGGAATATAGGTTGGACCCTTATCAGTGTAGAGCTTGTTCCAAATTGCTTTTGGGAAGTACATTACCTTAATCTTAGCTGTATAGCTTGGAGAACAGGCCAAATTTTACCTTGTTCGAGCCAAAATGTTAATATTGCACAAATACGTAGTACTAGCAATGCTTTTGTGATCAAACTAAACTGAGGAATCTGGAGTGGTCTCTCAGAACCTCTTCCTTCAGCCTGGTGGAGAATAGAGTTGTGAGTATAGTACCTCGTGTACCACCTGTGCAGCAAACAACCCTGGTGTAATGGCCAGAGCAGGAGGAATTCAGGGAAGCTCTGTCTGGAGCTTCTAATGTGGCAGAAGCATTTGCCAGGCCTGAGGGCTTCTTGTGTGCTTTTGGGATGTCTGGTCTCCAAACTGGTGCCTGTTTAGAAGCCTTCAGCTATGAGCTGGTCATTCTGCTAGTAGGGATTCTCACCAGCTTCTGCAGGAGTGTAGTTTTAACAGTTGTTGACCATCAGTAATTATGAAAAGGGTTTATTGTGTTTGCTATAAATCTGATTTGTCTGCATTCATCTAACAGGCTGGCTTTGGGGTAGGCTCTGCTGGTGGGTTTGTGCCTTGGAAGGGTTTTTCTCCCTGGTCATCTGAGCGGTGGCAGTGCCAGGGCTGTACGGAGGCGTAAGCTGATTTAAGGAAAATCCTAGATGTCTGCTGAAGCATTGGCCTGAGGTGAGGGAAAAAATCCTTGTCTGAATTGCCTTGATCATTGTTTTCTTTGCAAAAGTAGCAGATCCTAAACTCCCAGTTGGGCTTGACCCAGGGGTTGTAAACATTTATAGAAACTATAGAATCGTTCTCTCAGTGCTGATTGTGCTGAGTGCGTCTGCACAGAGTCTGACAGCTTGCAGCTGGGAGGTGGTGAATCACGAATTCGATCACGAATTCAGGCTCTCTGGAAAGCACGCTGCGTCCATCTTGCAGTTCTGGTGCCAGGAATTGCACTTTGCTTGTGTGGTGGGACAGGAGAAGGTCTTGGCTGGGGCTACAAGTAGGTTTAAGATCTGGTTTTATCTTCTTTGAAAGGAACTTGCTGCCAGCCTTGGTTTTTCGCCAGTTCATGGGAATATGAAGAAATTGTGTTTAAGAGAGCTGCTAAAGGCTTGTGGTGGCTCTCATCTCTAGGAGAGATAAGGAATTCAAAGGCACCAGTCTAGAAACCCTTCAGATCCAAGTGTGGAGATGCCTTGCAGAAGGGAGTAACTAGGCTCAGGATGCCGACAAATGCTTACCTAAACAAACGCAGGCAAAATCCCATCGGTGGCATTTTGGTTCCTGCCTTGCAACATCAGGCCTTTCTCGTTAATGTATAAACCCCTGCGAATCGGGAGCAGAAAACAAAAGCTGGGCTTAGCGTGCCGAGTACCTGCAAATCGGCCAGAAGTAGCATTAACTACCTGAGTGCATCAGCCCTGCCGAGCGTTTTCTGATGGCGATGCCCTAGATCCTCACTGATGACTCCAGGCAAAAACTGGCATTTCAAGTCCTTCCCTGATGCTTTGCCTCAGCAAAATGTCGAGGCATTAAGAAAATGACGGGACTTTTGGTCCCTTCCCTTCGTTTAGTGACGGCAGCATGGTAGATGGGAGCACGGCCTGATCCAGGTCTGGCAGGGATTGACTTTTGGTTTGGAAGAGGGGCAGAGGCAGCCTCAGAGTGTGAAATGACAGGCTTACAGAGTGCCTGATTAAAAGAGGTGGCGCCTTCTGGCACATAAATAGCCCTCTGTGCTGAGGCAGATTGCGTGCCTCTGTGTGTGTGTGTGTGTGTGTGTGTGTGCTGCAGAGTGAGTCAGCCCTGCGGAGAGAAGGGAGCGGTGGCTCTGCAGCAGCCGAGTGTCCATGGGCTGGCTCGGTAAGGGCAGGATTCTATCCACACAGAGCTCGCTGACCTCTTTTTTTAACTCTTTCATACTGGCTTTTTAATTGCAAAGGCCGTAGGTTTAATATTTCTTTTACTGCTGTCTCAGAGAAGTGTTTTTAAGTAGTACGATTTCTGTGCTTGCTCAGGGATTGTCTTGCCTTGAGAGGCCTGGTTTGCGGAGAAGCGTAGTAACCTGGGAAAGTTAAATAAGCTTTGGGGAAATAAAAACTGCATTAAGAGAAACTGATCCCAGAAACTCAGCCTCCGTTTTTGACTACAGGGTAACAGTAGATCTAATGAGAACAACTCTCCATAAACCTTGTTTCCTTTGCAGTCTGACCACAGGGATATTGATTTTATGGCTTTTTGCTGTTGCCATCCAACCACCACTGTTCTCAAGTGAAAATTACCCATCTCTGACACACAGCACTTGCCACCTCTCCTCTTAGCTTATCTCTTTTCTGCTCTGCAGCTTTTAACCATCTTTTTCTCATGACAAGTTAAACCTACAGTAAGTCTTCCTAGGGCCACTTACCCTGGAGTGGGAATTTTCTGTTTCAGGGGCAAAGGATTGTGTCCCAAAAAGCTTTTCCTTTTTTGTTCCTGTTACTAATGAATGCAGTTCCTTTTCTCTGCAAGCCACGCTTCATTTAGCCCCTGAGACACAGCTTTGCAACTCATATCGCTGAGTTTCTGTTAAGCTAGCGCAGTGCCAAAGCATGCAGAAAAAATCCTCCCCCGACCTTACAGCCTGTGATGCCCGAAGCTCTCGCAGGGGCCACGCTGCAGGGTGCTGAGTGCCTCCCACAAGGGTCTCGCTGACCTGTGAGAGCACTAGCTGGGCAGCAGGAGGGCAAACCGAGGTTCCTGGAGAATCACTGGCTCGTGTTTGCCGTCTTCCTTTTGCTAAGGGGATGAGTCAGTGTCACGACAGGCCCAAATCCTGGCTCTTCCGGATATACCAAGGGGATACTGGTGGCTGTTCCAGTCCTGGACTGTTTTTTGGCACTTGGGACTGTGCTGTTAGTTCTGCACTTGCCTCGTTGGCCTTTGGGAGAGGGTAAAGGGGTGACCTCAGGTGGCAGAGAGCGATAATGACCTCCCACACCCGATGGCTTTGTCTACCTAAGGTAGAGTGAGGACAAATCTTTGGAAATCACATTTATTCCCAAGATGGGCAGCGTGTCCTCAACTCAGAGATGTGAGCAGCCTCTGTGACACTTGTGTGCATTAGGACAATTTCTTAGACCTCTGTGAACACACGTGAAAAATGAGAAGCCGAGGCTGGATCTCCACATGCACTTGGTTTGGTGTTGGCGCTAGCCTGAGCTCTCCCTCTGGGCGCCTTCACATCCTGAATCTTCTCTTGCATCCATAGCACGCACTCCCTGCTTCTCCCAAGTGCACTGGTACAACTTGTCATGCTGCCAGGCGGTGAATCTAATTTGGGAATTGAGCCAGGTTAAAAATAACCCAACCTGGAGGGAAAAAAAAAAATTCACTAAAGAAAATGCAAGTGAAACTACAGCCTGTGGTTCCCTCAGCCTGTTACTGGGGCAGTAGAGAGAAAGAACATGCAGTTATTAGAGAAGGAGCGTTCCGTTATTGGTGGCACAAGACAGCGTTAATTTAATACTAAGAAATAAAAGGATGACATCCGAAAGGGATAAGGCTGAAGCAGGACACGACACAAAGTTGGGCTGGGTGACCACCGATGAGGCACGTTTCTGTACCTCTCACCGCCGCACAGGCCGTTCTCTTCTTCCCGGCAGTGCAGAGGGAGGTCCAGGCCATTTTCCAGCACTGCGACGCAGCAGTTCGCTCCGGGGCTTCCAGCTTGCAGGATCCCTGTGTCACCGAAGGGTTGTGGCAGTGGAGCAACCCTGTAGCAGGAGCTTTCTCTAGTGAGTGTTACTGGCTGTGAGCAGGCAATATTTGCATTTCCCTTGACGTCTCTTCCGCTGCCAAGAGAAGTTACTGTCATGAGTCTCTTCGCTTGTATGTTCGTATGAAAGTTCCCTGGTTTGGCCGCGGGCGGTTTGGGTGCTGTATATCCCTTTTGACATCCAGATTCAGCGTAGCAGCTTGGAAGGGTACCTTGCAGAGTCATTTGCTTAAATAAGCAGGCCCGAGATCCACTTTTAGGATTCATTTTCTCATCTTCCAGTTTTGGTAGATTCACCTGTACCGAAGCTCCAGATTATTCCCACCGATACGCTGGTGGTGCCCCAGACACGGATCATTTCAGCCGCAGTGAGGAGAACCTGCCTGAAGCCATCCTTAGCCTCAAATTCCCCAAACAGCACTACAGTTTTCCTGGCGACAATCAGCGCTGTTCTCAGCTCTCTGATTTTGAGGGGCCTTTGCTGGCATCCTGCTGACAGTAAGAGCCAGCTTGTATTGTGGACAAGCACTGACGTCATGGAATGGTAAGCATAGCATAAAACCTCATTAAAATTCAATTCCTGGCCAGCTGGGGATGTTACGTTCACTCACAATTACATTCCCCGTCACTTACCTTTTCTCAGTGTGATTCATTAGTGGAGCTCCCAGCAGCACCCTGCCTAGACCCAGCCCTCAGA